GTAGGCAATCGCGTCCAAGCCAAAAAGTCCCCGAAAGCAGCAGATCACCCGTGCACCCAGAAAAATTGTTTCTTGATTCAAGTAAATTTTTCTTGTTCCAAGTGACGCTGACACAAGATCAAATTTACTCTTGAATCAATCTGATATTTTCTTCCGAATAAGACAAAAATCTTATTCCAAAGGCAATACTGCCTTGTTTCAATTGTGAATTTCATCTTGTGTCAGCGTCACTTGAAACAAGAAAAATTCACTTAAATCAAGAAACAATTTTTCTTGGGTGTGGTTTGGACCTGGAAGTGAGCCGTCATACCCAGGAGGCGGCCAAGACCCGCTGGACCACTCACTACCCCGGTGCCGCATACGTGATGCACGATAACCACCCGAAACTAGAGCACACTCTGCGCACGATGAGTTGTACCTTTCACCAGCAAATTTACACGATTGTACACCCTTTCACGCAAATGTCACTGATAAAACAAATGTGGAAATCATCTCACTAAATGTTGTGTAGTTTTCGGTGTGCAAAATTTATATACTTCATGGAGCTTAACTGAACAGAACGTAGCTAATTGGTATACAGACCTTCGCAAAATTGTTTAATGTTTGCGCACTACGAAACTATGCATAATTTGCAGAATCATTTGACACTTAAGCGTGCGACATTTGCATCAACCTTTGATTGCGGGTTTTGGGGGCGATAAAAGTTTTTACCATGTACACATTGAGTCATAGAAGACTTTTGTTACGAAAGTATCACAAGTCCAGAGATTCAGTGTGGTGTACCGGTGCGGATCTGACGCTGCAGATGCTGGTACTCCCACTCCCAACGTCTCGAGGCACCTCGGTGGCCGGTGGCCTGGCCCGGACCCGCACCCAGCTCTATGGGCCCCAGGCATCCAGGGAGCAGAGAGAGACCCAGGACAGTCCTGTTGTGGTGCTCTCGCGGTTGAGGCGCGGAGGACCGCCCGACTGCGGCCAATGGAGGGTTGTAGTAGGAGCTAAGGCTGGGCTAGGGTACATCCTGTTCGCATCCCACCCCACATCCCCACCCCGCAAGGTGCAGCAAACCACAATGACCCCACACACCTTATGGGGCGTCGGGCCAAGCCAGATGCTCATATGCACTTTGCATGGCCCGAGGGGTGACAAAACTCGGCTTTTTAATGTTAAGTACAGCTGAACCATAAAGGTCGTCGAGAAGATGGCAATGTTTTTTTTTCAAAACAGCAACGTTCTTTGCAAAACAGCAATGTTTGTTTCAAAACAGCAATCTTCTGTCCCTGGACAACTTTTGTTGTTCTACAACAACACGGAGTCTTTGAAAAAAACAAACAAAAAAACAGAGATTTGCTGTTAATTCTAGATGATAACTTTTTACAGTGTGCACCTCGGCGCCGTTCGCTGTCCGCGGCGCTTCTTTTGGCCGACCTTCTGGGAATGGCTCAGCGAGGGGCACCGCGCGGCTCTGGGATGACCCGGAGACGGTGCGGCCACTCTTAGTACCGTCTGCTGCCTTCGAGGACGAAGCCACAAACGGCCGCCCCTTCCCCCTCAGTACCGTCTGTAAAAGCAATACACCACAGTGTTGCGGATTTGCCTACCCGATCTGCGTGTGTAAGGCGCCATAGCACCGTGGGTATGCAAACCAGCAACATTGGGGAGTATTGGACTTTACATTCAGTACGTCGCAGTGGTCAGCGTGACGGGTTCGCAAGGTCGCAGGCCAGAAGTTCCAGGTTCAACTCTCCATCCGGTAAGGTATTTCATCATTACTTTAATGTTTCCTAACGTATATAATTACCCGAAGGCAAAAGGAAGGCGAGAAAGAATGGGAGAAAACTGCGAAAAAAGTGTGGAAAAAACGCGTTCTTTTTTAAAAGGTGCATTCGGCGTATAGGAAAATTCCTATGCATGTGTAGGAAGACCGCACACAACTAGTTTGTCCTATACAGGTGTCAATGAAAATTCCTATTATACTGTAGCATAGCATGGGAGGATTACCATTCACTCGCGAGAACACAATTAGTACACACTAAAACCTCCATACATTTATACAGGAGACTTAGTGTGTTCTTGACCAAGTACACACCACTTCCTGCATACTTGCCAGAGCACACAGGATCTCCTGCATACATGTAGGTATGCAGGAGATACTGCATTCAAGTACACACTTGGGTTTCCAGAGCACGCATGGTAGAACTCCGACATGCGTGTATGGGGAAATTCCCATTATAGACATTTATACGATTTTTTTTTTTCGAGTCGATCCTTTGTACGGTACAAACCCAATTCTTCGTCATATGAAGACTGCTCTTTGCAAAAAACTAAAATTGTCCGGTATTCTCTCACAAGCTCGTAACATGTCCGCTGTTGGGGACGCAGGGGCTCGGGGTAGGGTAGGCTCGGCTCGGCCAACATCATCCGTCGCGATGCGTCTCGTTGGCTATGTCCCCTTCTTCCTCCCTCGCCATTTCTCTTACCGTTCAGCCTCCCGTTTCACTCCGCACGCCCTTTCATTTGACTCCGTGTCGTCCTCGCAATTTCTCATCCCCCCCTCCTTTCCCTCCCGGTGACCCCGCCCGCTCTAGCTTCATTTCTTTTTATTTATTTTTCGGAATGTGCTGAGAGGCGGGGGGAGGCTCACACCGCACTCATTAAAGCTAGTGTCCCAATCCTTTAACTGCGCGCAAAATGTGCAACCGTCCATTTCTGGTGATGGTTTGTGTGAATCATTGTGTTTGCATACCTAAACGATTCAATTGTAATCAATTTACAGTGATAGTAGAATTATTTTAGATACCATCCAACAAAACTCAGAGAAGAGACAATGAGACACTGCCTTCCAAGAGCTGTGCGCATTTTTTATCCTTTCGGGGCTTTCGCAACATCAGCAGGTGAGAGATGTTCATAAAATGGCGGAAAAAAACAGTAAAACACTGCCTAATGAGTCCCGAAAGGGCCATTTCGGCCGCCCCGCAGGCATTCTTGCACCCGCAGAAACGACCAACCACGAGCGGCTGGCAGGGGTTCAAATCTCATCACACGGTGGTGCTAGGATTTCCCTTTTCCTTGACCCCTTTAGTAATTTTTTACCCTCACTCCGTCTGCGCTTTAATCACCCTTCTCTTGACCTCTTTAATTATTGCAAAGTACGCCTGTTGCCTCGACGCTCGCTCCACCCCCCCTCCCCAGCTCCTCCTGTCCCCGGCCGCTCCAGGCTGTGTGCACCCTCCCTCTTCCCTGCTGGGCGCTGGGCGCGCCGCGTACACTCTGTCCCACCCCTCGACGCCACACCGCATGCGGGGTTGCCTAACCGCGGCCTGGCACGGCGCTAAAAGGCCACCTGGGTCTCCCTTAGCAGCATCAACCGTCCGCCTCGCCGTACGCTCCCCTCCCTCTCTCTCCCTCTCGTTCTCTCTCTCCCTCTCTCTCACTCCCTCCCTGCACACGCCAGATAGGGCTGCGACCCGCCGCCAACACAATGCTGCGGCCAGGTCGCCGCCTCCGCCGCCCCCGGCCGCCCGCTGCCACCGCGGAGAGTGCAGGCTGTGCCGCTGCGCCCCGAGAGGGATTACCGCACACAGGAGCAGCTGAGCACGAAAAATATTATTCGACGCCGTGTTTCCTCTCTGCGGCGTCGTGCCGCGTGTGTGACGCGACGACACGCCACGACGCCGCGCCGACGAGGCGGGCCCCACCGCCCCGACCCCAAGGCCGCCCTGGGCCCGCCGGCACTGGCCTCCTTCAGAGTGTATTTTGCCTTCCAAATCCGCGCCGAACCAGCTATGTAGTGGCGGGCGAGGGGGCGCAGGAGTTATCGCCCCCAGGCAGACAGGTTAGGCCCTCGCCCCTCCTCTCCGCGCCTCGCCGCGCCTCGCCCAACGGCGAACTACACGGACTAGTACGTAGGGCTAGTATCGGGCGCCGAGCGTTCGGTCATGTTTGCATGCAGCCGTGCGTGGGGGCGGACATGCGGGCATGATTGGCGAGAGAAAGGGGGAAAGGGGAGAGGGGGTAGGCACGTAGGGTAAGGACGCTGACCCTTGCCTTTCCCTAACACTAACTCTCTCTCTCTCTCTCTCTCTCTCTCTCTCTCTCTCTCTCTCTCTCTGTCCCCCCGACCCCTTACCACCTCCCAAGCACTATTCGCGGCGCGCTGCTCATTTCCAAGTCGATCGACAGTCCTCCTTGCAGACCTCCTCTCACACCCCTACCCGACCCGCCCCCCTCATCCTCTCCGCCTCCGCCTCCCG